CTCCTGACCTCATGATCCGCCAGCCGTAGCCTCGCAATGTGCTGGGATTACAGGCGTGAGCCACCGTGCCTGGCCTCTAAAAAGAATTTTGACCGAAAGCCTTTGCTCCCTTACCTTCAGGCATACCTGTCATCTGGCTATAAACTGCAGTCAGGGCTGCGTCTGGATGTTGTTCTTGCTTAGCTATACGTATTTGTGTGTGCAAAGACACAACTACTCCTTAACAGGAAGAAAAGAGAGCTCTTTGCATTCTCCACAGGGCCCTGCGGGGAGGTTCAGGTTAAGTCAGAGGCTCTTGGTTCTGAATGCCCATTGTAACCACTTGGAGAACTTTAAACACACTGAGCCCTCAGTCCTGGGACCTCCTCCACCATCTGATTGTATTGGTGTGGGATTTTTCAAAGCTCACCAGGTAAGCTCCATGCAGTAAATCCCAGTGTGCAGCCAGCTTCCTCCAAGGTGCCCCCAACGCCAACAGGGCAAGAGTCACGTTGCTGTAGCGCGTGTCCTGTGTTCAAGGCGGGAACCTCCTTGTGCGACTTCATCCCTCAACCTCAGCACTCCTCAAACTTCCATGTGCCTGATGCTGACTGCTGGGTCTGGGATGGAGCCCTGAAATCTACATGTGTAATGTATGTATTTGTAAGGTCATAAGCAGCCTCCGAAGGGTTTATCTAAGAAAGGAATAAGGCATGAAGTGGAGGCCCTAGGGCTGGCCTGGCCTGTTGGGTCAGAGCCCGGGTTCCAGTTTGAACGTGCCGGGGGCCCACAGGGGAGCTGCTTGTGGTTTTCACACCTCCTTTGTGAGCTGAAAAAACCGGTGCCCCTTTAGAGCAACATTCCCTCTGAATGTTTATCATTCTAAAGTGAAAAAAGACACACAAAACATGAACCTGCTTGTCAGGCAAGGAAGCTGAGGAATCTGTCTGGCTTGCAGAAACCCCTCCTGGGAGCAGACAGCCCTCCCAGGCACAGATGGGACACCACCGCATCCCACTCGGGCTGTGTCTAGAGACTCCGCATGGCCCCCAGGAAGGTCCTTTCTCCAACAAGGCCAGGGTCAGGACCAAGAGTGAGGACATGGGAAGCACAGGACCTGCAGGGCACCTGCCTCCCTCACCACGTGTGGCATTCAGAGAACAAGGCTGCTCTAGGCCCTGCTCCCTTCTCTCCACCCCAAGGTGCCATTACTAACTCCGGTTGGGCTGCTGACCTGGTTTTGCTGAGTGCTCTCAGAACCCTGTAAATCAGGGGTTGTGTGGGCTCTGGTAGACACCAGACAGAAAGTATATTCATGGACCTGGCTGTCTTCCTGGGAAGAGGCCAATGTAAGGGAGAAGAGACCGTTCCAAGGGCTCCTGGGAGAAAGCAAGGGCCAAAAAGCTCAAGAGCAGGATCTGAGTAGAGGACGCAGATACCTGGCCAGTTCCTGCCTGGGAAATGCTTTAAAGAGTGTGAAGAAAGGCCGGGCACGGTGGCTCACTCCTATCATCCCAGCACTTTGGGAGGCCGAGGCAGGCAGATTGCCTGAGGTCGGGAGTTCGAGACCAGTCCGGCCAACATGGTGAAACCTTGTCTCTACTAAAAATACAAAAAAGTTAGCTGGGTGTGGTGGCGGGTGCCTATAATCCCAGCTACTCAGAAGGCTGAGGCAGGGGAATCGCTTTAACCAGGGAGGCGGAGGTTGCAGTGAGCAGAGATTACGCCACTGCACTCCAGCCTGGGTGACAGAGCAAGACTCCATCTCAAAAAAAAAAAAAAAAAAGTGAAGAGGAGGGACGGAGAACAGAACCACAGAGCAAAGTCTTACCAGGTCCACTCCTTGGGAATTTGGGGGCCTCTGCTCAACTTTGTTGACCTGGTTTTAGCGAACACGCCACCTCCTCATGCTAGGGCTGGAGATACTAGCAGCCAGGGATGTGTGTCTAAATGAACACTGTCAGCCACATGTTAGTGCGTGGCTCTGGTATGCAAGAAAGGTTGTACTTCGTTTTCTTCTACTTAATTCTAAGCCCCAATCCTCCAGGCTTGTGGGAAATTCAGCCCCAGTCATTACCAGGCTCTTCTCCATGCCCACGACTGGGCAAAGGCCCCAGAGCCTCATGCAGCAGATAGTGCTGGGGAGACCTATGTGGTCATCAGGCCCAGTCCTTCCTGGGGGCCACCAAGCCATGCTGCTCACCATCTCAGAAACTTCAGAGGCTGGAGCAGAGGCGAGCGGTGGAATGCAGCTAGCAGGAGGTAGGATTTCAGCAGGCGTCTCACATCTAAGTCTGCCTGGCTGCTGTTACCAAGTACCAAAGCCTGGGTGGCTTAAACGTTTAATTCCTTACAGTTCTGGAGGTGGAGGGTCAAAATCAAGGTGCTGACAAATCCGGTGTCTGGTGAAGACCCTCCTCCTGATGTACAGACCACCGTATCCTCATGGTGGAGAGTGAGCGAGCTTGGGCCTCTTTCCCTTCTCACACTATTCCCAGCGTGGAGGCTCCACCCTCATGACAGCTAACCCTACTCACCTCCCACAGCCCCCACCTCCATGGCTCCAACATCTGCATTTTGCAGAGACACAAACATGCATTCCATAACATCTTGAAAGTCTTCCATCAGGCAGCTGCTGTTTTTGCCCTGAATGATTGCAAGTGCCTGGGCATGACATATGCCCCAGCCCAGGGGGAGCCACATTGTAAGGCCATCGTCTCAGCCCCCCACTCAGGCTGTCCTGTCTCCGCAGTGCTCATCGACCTGCGGGAAGGGCCTGCAGTCCCGGGTGGTGCAGTGCATGCACAAGGTCACAGGGCGCCACGGCAGCGAGTGCCCCGCCCTCTCGAAGCCTGCCCCCTACAGACAGTGCTACCAGGAGGTCTGCAACGACAGGATCAACGCCAACACCATCACCTCCCCCCGCCTTGGTGAGTGTCTTCACTGGCCCCGGTTCCCTGGGGGCTGCTGTGTCTCCTGCCCAGTGAGTCCTGCCTGATGGTGAGGTTCTTTCAGCTGGAAAGCCCCCTTCTTGGGCCTCACTTGTCACACAAGGCTGACATGTGTCAGTTCTGTAGAAGAGGTTTCAAAGATGGAATTCCATTCCCTGTTGTGGAACTGGTGTTTGCTTACTGCTGTCTCAAACACAGGCCCCTGAGCATCCCCCTCACCCTTTTGCCCAACACAGAAGGATGTTCCACAGACATTGTAGGTTTCCTGTGCATGAGGAATGTGAAGGGAAGTGCTTCTTTCTAGAAATGAAAGCTCCAGGGACATCCTTCATGATGCCACGAGGATGCACACGTGGGGCACACCCCAGGCTGATGCTCGAGCGGCAGACAGGTGTGGTGGAGGGCTGCAGACTGTGTGCGTGGTTTGGCCCTGGGTGCTCAGAACCTGGCCTCTTACCAGTTCATGCCCCAGGTCAGTGGTGATGCGAGGAGACGAGGAGCACTTAAAGATCTGGCCGGGTGTGATGGCACACGCCTGTAAATCCCAGCACTTTGGGAGGCCGAGATGGGTGGATCCCTGAGGTCAGAAGCTCAAGACCAGCCTGACCAATACAGTGTAACCCTGTCTCTATTAAAAATACAAAAAGTAGCCAGGCGTGGTGGCACGTGCCTGTAGTCCCCACTACTCAGGTGGCTGAGGCAGGAGAATCGCTTGAACCCAGAAGGCAGAGGCTGTAGTGAGCCGAGATTGCGCCACTGCACTCCAGCCTGGGCGACAGAGTGAGACTCTGTCTCAACACATACAAAACAATAATATAATTCCTTTTAACAGAGTTTCTGTTTTGCTAAATAGAAGTCCCTGAGAAATATTTTCCTACCTGAGGCTGGAAACTCACTGAAATGCAGGGGATTTGTAGCATCTTTGTTCCAGGGGAGGCCTTTGGGCTGGCGGAAGTATAGTTGTGGCTTTTGCAAGCACGGGCCTGCTTGGTGACTTCCAGAGACCACCCTCAAGCAGGGCCTTCTCTCTGTACAGTCAAGACCCTGAAGGATATTTGGGCCACTTGTATGTCTTGGACCTCATGCTTTTTGGGGTCCTTTGATGTTCACTGTTCCATGTCGTCCTGTTTTATAAATGCCTACAGTAATGGTACCCTCAGCTACAAAACAGTAAGTGCCACTTAGCTTGGAAGCAAGGTGGCCTGTGCCTTCTTCCCTGAAGAGGCAGCCAGACCACCACGCCGTCATGTGGTTGGGTTTGGATGCAAGGGTGCGTCCCTGTGACAGAAAGTGCCACAACCAGTGCCCTGGGAGGAGGCATAGCCTAATCAGTGCATAGGGTTGACATGTGCACAAGGGTGAGGGAGCCCAGATGGTGGGACCACAAGCCCTCCCTGGGCGTGCATCAGGACATGCCTAGGCCATCCCTGACTCTGGGTGTTCTCTTTTGTGCCCTTAGCTGCTCTGACCTACAAATGCACGCGAGACCAGTGGACAGTGTATTGCCGGGTCATCCGAGAAAAGAACCTCTGCCAGGACATGCGGTGGTACCAGCGCTGCTGCCAGACCTGCAGGGACTTCTATGCAAACAAGATGCGCCAGCCACCGCCAAGCTCGTGACGCGCAGCCCCGGGGGTCGCTCAAGGCTCAGACTCGAGGTCTGAAACCCGCCCACCCCCAAGCGTATCAGCCTTGCGGCCATGCCCCCACAAGGCTACCACAAGAATACAACTGCATAGAACATGAGTGTGGACTTGACGTTTGCCATTAAAGCTTCTGTACTTAATATATTGTTAACAGCCACTGGATGGCTTTCTACAGTGAGGAAAAAGTAGGCATGAGTCACAAAATAACTTTAATTTCTAGGATTCCAGGTACCTCGAAGGGGAGCACCTCTGGCAGACAACCGTCAAGAGAGAGACATCATTTAGTGTTCCTGTCTTGGCTCGCTTTCGACATTTGAATTCCCAGTGCTTGGTATATCATGGAGGAAACATCCCCAAAACGAGACATGTTAGAAGAGGCTTTATTCTGAAAGCCGGCGACACCCTGGAGGGAGGGGCAGGTGTTGGTGAGCCTCTACCCGTGGCTTCTCTGGAGAGGGCCGGGCTGCTGAGCCCATGTTTTCTCTTCATCTACCTTTTTGACCACATGAGAACCAGGACATTGCCTCCATGCCTGTCTCTGACAACATAGTCTCTAAATCCTAGGTGTTGCCTTGGAAGTCTCGTCCCTGAGAGTGTAAATCTATGTATGCCAACGAGGACAACAGTGCCACGCAGTTCACACCACCCACATGGGAAGAATGTTCCAAGAGAGTCTGGGTTTGGGGAAGCATCTAATTTTCAGAGCTCTGCTGTCCACCGTGTAGGGGAACAGAAGGGCCTTTCTTCAAGGTGCTGTGAAATGGGAAACGGTAATTGTGGTGATGGGGTTGCTGCCTAAGGCAAAGGTAAGCTTGGGCCAGCTTCGTTGGGGCAGATGGGCATCTGCCCCACCTTCCGGGAGCGTCCACTCTGGCCCGCACTTCCTAAAGCTTTGCACCTTAGAGATGCTGTACCACATCCCAGTGGCTTTCTACCAACCTTGGCCATTTATCTGAAGACGACATTTGGGACCTCTGAGGACAAAAACCCAGGCCTAGGATGTATAGAGCAAGGCCTGACTGCTGTATCCTGGCACGGAGCAGCCTGATGTGGCAGGACCAGGGGAGGAATGCCATCCGGCCCGCACTGCTGCACACCCACTGAGCCTTCCTGTAGCCCAGACTTTGTGGTAGCCATTATCATCACGCCTGTCATCACTGACCCGTCTTCTTGGTGGGGCAAGGATGATGCATGATGAAGGTCCTTCCCTCCTGCAGCCCCCTCATGCCTGGTAGCAGATGAACAGAGTGGCCTCTTTGAGAACACAGAGGATGGTAGAACTCTGCCTGCAAGGAGGCCGGGAAGGCTGGAAACAGAGACCCTAGATGCCAGGAGGCCTGTTTTGCTCACCAACTTGGTGGGCATTTCATGGGTGCTTATGTTCTAGGACTTTACCATAAGAAACACACCTCCTCCCTGATTTCAGACAGAAGGTCTCACTTGGACTAATTTCCATGGGATCATCTCCCAGTGCTTCTTGATTTATTGGTGCTGTGTTTCTGTGTTTTGTTTTGTTAGATGTCACAACAGTAGAGTTAGCTTAAATCAGAAAGAAACCTCTCTGCGTTCTCCACCCTGTCTGACGAGCTGTGTTTGTGTTTGGACTACCCCAGAGGCAGAGAAGCGGTAGGGATGTCAGGGAATTTACTCACTTCCACTTGAATCAACGAGAAGTGTTGAGAAACTTCCGTGGGTGCTCTGTGGAAAGAACTGAGAGTGTCAGGATGGAGCGGCCCACCCTCACCCCGGGGCCTGTGCAGAACGCTGTCCTCCCCGTCAGGCCTGGCCACCAGCAGACTCCCCTGAATTCCCATTTTCACAAAGCCCTCAAAATTTTGGGGGCGCTGACATTCCATTTCCTTCATCCCCAAATGAACTGTTAATTCACCAAAAGACATTTAGACTTTTGCAGCCAAGGAGCAGAGCTGAGCTAGCTCACTAAGGAAGCCTTAGCTTGGTCTCCTGCATGGGCCCCGGGCCTCTAAATATGCCCCCTGGTCACCCTGGCAAGGGCCCCACACCCTCAGAATGAAAAGGATTGATTGGGTTATTGTCAGACACCCCCATTAGTTCCCCTAAAGTCTGCATCTTTGGAGCTCTTTTAGCTCATCTTTTTTTTTTTTTTTTTGAGACGGAGTCTTGCT